GAAAAAAAGCTTCAACAGCCTTTTCTTCCTCAAAACAAGAGGAAGATTAAGTTTCTACTACACGTTTAAAAACGTGTAGTAGAAACGTTCAAACGTTTTTTGTTTTTTTTTTTTTTTTTTAAAAAAAAGAATATTTAGGTTTCTCTTGATTTTTGTTTTACTAGAAGTAAAGCTGAGAAAAATCCATGGCTCTACAACTTATTTGGAGCACTGATCTGCCCTGGGAATGATGGACCAGAGCAGAAAGCCACAACCACCTTCCCTATGTAGAAGTCAAGGAAAACCCCCTAAAAAAAACCCCAGAATGTACTAAAAAAAAAATCACCCATATAAAATGAGACACCGGCACTTAACAGGGCAAGACAGTCGTGATGTAGCACAGGCCCCTTCCCCGAAAAACAAGCATGTGTGACCCCACGCACCTGGAAAAAGAGGGCATTAAACTCGGGGTTTAGTGGAGTTCAGAGCAATCAGGGTGATTCTGAAGGCCTGAAGCAGCACAAAGCAGCAGCAGGAGCAGAGAAGGAACTGCTTTTAGAAGGAATTTCACTGGGAAGTTTGGTACTGCCAAGTCTTTGCTTTGTTTCACACCGCCTTATCTTGGCCTCACTGGTATCTTCCCAGCTCTCCTGCATGACTTGTTCCTTCTCCATTTCTTAGTGCTGCTTTCGTGGTTATCTAAAGGAGATAACTGTTTCTGAAATCCCGGCAGAGCGGGATTTTCTTCCAGATTATCCCTCCTCATGAGCTGCATCTTCACAACTCCAGTGTCTCTTCCTCTCTTACCCTACCACCATAAATACAATTCTACATGCAGCAGGATGAGGTGTGGTGAGACTTAATCCCTTCTATGATGCGGAACATACGCGTTTTAAAGCGACATGACAGAACCACCTTGTCTCCTGTAAACTGCTCCTGTGTTGCATCTGAGGACAAATTTTAGGATGAGGCTCCATTTCTACAATATGCTTGTCAAAAACAGATCAACATCAATATGATAATCAAAATACAAGAAAAGTAGTATTTTAGCATAGATTTGCAAGTCTTTTTGTCCAGGAAACAATTATCATGCCAAATTCCAACGTAGGGGAAGGAAGGGTATCATGATATATTTCCATTTCATTTCCAAATGATGTATTTCCATTATCATTCCATTTCCAAAGTGTTCCAGGCCAGGCTGGATGAGGCTTTGAGCAACATGGTGTAGTGGAGCATGTCCCTGCCCATGGCAGGGGGGTTGGAACTAGATGATCTTTTGAGGTCCCTTCCAACCCAAACCGTTCTATGGGAAGAGCAAGATTTACAAATGGATATAAACTGGGCCCTTTGGTAACAATCACCAGTAATAATGTTGATTTCTAAAATGGCGCCTGCACAGGGAACTGACTACAATCACTCCTGCACTGGACACACAAGAGCCGGGGAAATTTCAAACAAGATTCTCTCTTTCTGGTGCACGCCAGGTGTATTACGGTAACCTGTAAAACACCATTTTCTCTTCCATGTCCGTGTCAAAGGCAGCTACACCGTGTTTGCTCTGTAAATTCAAGTGCTGCTTTATTTACTTATTTTACTTCCATTTTACTTATTTAGAACAATTTCCATTCGGTGACATGCCTTTAATGACACTCATGACTCAGAAATACTTGTCGATGTAGTCAAACAATGTCTATTGACACGAGTCACTGAAGTTAAATAAACATTATTAAAAATGAGACAAAACAAAAGGCAAATATATATATAATCCAGCAGAATGATAGGGATCATCACCATTTGATCAATCTTCCCTGTGAGTTATATCTGCAAGTTACTTTGAGGTAGCGCTAAAGAAGCTGTTGGTCCAAGAGCATCCCTGCAAAAAGAAACATTCATGGCTTAAGTACCATTTAACCTTTTCCTACCCTTTTAGATACTCTTTATCCTTTCTGGCCTCTTTCCTTCTCCCTGTTCACGGACTGCAGGGTTAGTAGCCCCTCAAACCACTGTACTAAAGCCTTTCTCTTCAGAGAGGTGATAGAAAACAAAAACACTAATCTTCTTGAAATCAGCAGGTTTTGAGTAAAGGCACTATCTATTGCAGCTAGGTGCAATGAGGAGTTTATAAAACCAATACTAAGTAATCTTGCAAAAACACCTTCGTCAAGCTAAAAAAAAAAAACAAAAACAACCAACCAACCACCACATTTCAGGTGGGTAAAACAAAGACAAAACACAACCAGAAGAAGTGAAATGGCATGCTGTTGAAAAAGTTAACTCCAAGACTTTTTTTGTTTGTTTGTTTAAATGCTCCCACTGCAATCAGATCTTTGTAGAACTGATGGCAGGAACCTGTAGGAAGAGTTCAGACTCTGCACAAGGTAGCTAATGCAGGCTGGTAGTTGTACAACAGCTCTAAGTTTATTCAGTAAAAAGTCTCAGCAATGCATTCTCACAGTTCTGATGGACTCACTTTCTCCTGTATTTGGGGTTCATGGGTAACCCCCCAACACAGGAAGAAATTTTGCTTTCAGTGTGCCATTACAGTAAAGAACGTGCACTGGACACACCATTTTGATCCCATGTATGCAGTTAACTGGAAAGAGAAACAGGCTAGTAAGGCTCAGGAGATAGAAAAAGAGGTCAGAGAACTATTTAAGGACAGGGTCACATGGGTTGCAACCAACATGCTCTCTTCCTCACCTCATTTACTTTATGTTGACTGGAAGAAGATACACCCCCAACATTTCTCAGGTGTTGAGAACTAGCGGCCCAACCAACCTCTTTTGCTGCATTACATAAACAGTACTTCCACTACAAGGGGTGATTTACAGCCCAGAACAGAAGGCGCACGCAGGTCTGAAAACAGTCTCTAGCACAGAGTGCAGAGACCTTGTTAACAGGTAAAATCTGCAGAAATGGGGCAGCTACAGACTGACTTTTCTGAGGTTTATATACTGTGGTCATACAGTGTCAGGCTAAGTGAAATCACATAGCTACATTGGCCCCCCATTACATAGTTCACACTCAGATCAACCTCCCAAATACCAAAAGTCAGCACAGATACTCCACAGCATTTCTGCTGAGCTGAAACGCATCTTCAGCATCATGTTTTTAACTGATAATGCAACAAAAGGTTCCCACAAGTTACTTGCTGCAACTTCAGTACAGCATTAGGTCACCCTATGCAAGCCATGGCAAAGCAGGACATAACCCAGGCACAGACCTCGAAGCTGTCTCACCACTTGTGGTGACAGTACTTTGCTTAGCCCAGTTTGTACCACTAAGTTCCAGCACCATGGCTATGCACTACAATTGAAGTGGCATCAAATCTTGTGTGGTTTCTGAGCTTTAACACTTCCATTTGAATTCAAGGGCCTTTGTCTACTATCTTGAGTTTCCTTCCTACTGCAGCACCCTGAAAGAATTCTATACCTGCACTCAGCCACCCTCTTTCCCACTTAAGATTCTCTTTGCTTCATTTGTTCCACTCTCTGTCACATTCTCATTAATAATCTCCCTACCATCACTCTCCAGAGAGTCAACAGTTCAAACAAGGGAAACATCCACTTGAGAAATCCACGTTCCCAGCCACCCTGCAACTAGCTCTCCCCAACGCAGGGAAACAGTTGCTAGAACTGTGATGCTACACCCCCTGCCTAGATGAGGTTTTTTGCTTTCTGACTCTTCCTACAGGTACATCTGCAAAAAATCCATGAAGAATGAACTTCCTATAGCACTCTAAAAGCCCTTTCTGTTTTAGAGCATCTACACTTCATGGCAGGACTTTGAAAATATTCCTAGCTGAAATTAAACTGTGAAGAGAGGGAGATTCTCATCAGCAGCTAGAAGTGACCTGCCAGTGCCAAGTCATTACTCTGCAACGCAGTATTTGTTTTAAATTTAAGAACAGTTACGGGTTATGGCCACCACTTTAATTACAATATGTCATAAAAAAGCCAAAAGAACTTTATTCCTATCTGCCATCACAGCAATTATGGTGTAGATTGCCCCAAAACCACACGCATTGCAGTACCACAGTGTCTTGACTACCTTTGGTAGCTTCCACAGCTATTAGCTATAATTTCTGCTACCTTTTTTCTTGAAGAGTATTGTTCTGTTTCCAGCCTAACTTACTGTATCTTTATGTACACTAAGTAGTAAATACTTTTGCATACACATAGGCTTAAACAGTCCCTATGACTGGATTATACTTTATACCCTTCAAGATGAGAACAGTTTAGAGTAAGCCACTCAGAAGTTGCTAGCTTAGAGCAGAACCTTCCTCATTGCAATCTCCCCTCATCCCCTTCAACTTGAACACTGAAAACTGTCATCCTACTAAGATTTCACAACTTCGTCACTATGAAACACCTGAGCGTGAAGAAGACTGAACAAATGGCAGAGATGTTTAGGATACAGTGCAACTCCGTTGAAGAGTTCTTACTAAGACAGTTTCTTGTTCCAAATGGGTTGTTTTTCCTCCTTTAAACTAGAAGGTTATTTTCTCCAAGGATTTTTAGGTTTACGAACATGTTATTATATTACACTGGTTTCTTTGCTGTGAAGTGTGAGTTGTGAAGACCAACAGTAAAAGCAGGAAAAAGAATTGTCAAGTAGGGATCCTCCTTAGTCTTTGGAACGTTTGTGGCTACAGCAGCTGAAAGTTTGCCCTTCTGTATGTTCAAAACACTGTATTGATAAAGCAATTCTAACTGACCTAGCAGATCAACAGTAGTGCAGTCAGTGCCAGAAGACTGGAGGAGAAGGAGTGGGCCCGAGTGTTCCCAAAGCAAACCTTGAGGGCAGCTCCCAAATACACACAGAATCTAAGCAAGCATGTTAGGAGCTTCTGGAAGATTGCCTAGGTGACTTGGAAATACATGAGAGCTAGTTTTTGCCAGTGTCCTGATGCCCACACCAAGACAAAAGACAAGTGAAATACCCCTACTGCCTCCAGCTAAATTCCACAAGCCAGAAGAGAATGCGCTTCACATATGTAAGTAAAATCCCTTGCTGGCAGGTTTGCAGAAACAAAATTTTATTTACACAGGCAAGTCTATCTTTAGACCCCATTGAACTCTTTACATTTCTAGAATATTTACATGATTTCAAGATGCTCCAAGAATAGAGTGATGGACAAAAAAAAGATTACAGAAACTGTCAAAAGCATAGCAAAAAAACCCAACCTATCATTGTGCTTTAAAACTTATGATCTAGAGTAATGTAGAAGAAATGTAATTTTAGCACCTTGGTCATAACGGTCATGCTATATAAGACACTTAAATACCAGGGGGGATGTCAGAAGTGACCGTATCCAGAGGTTGCCAGTGACAATTCATGAGGGAATCATAGAGCTCTTCACTTGTTTCCATAAATTGTCTGTTCATTTCATCAACATCCAAGTAAAGCTGTGGATCTGAAAATAGAAGTACAAGTGTCAGATCTTAGGAGGCATGCACAAACCTGAAGTAAATACCTAGTAAAATATGGTTTAGCTAAATTTAATAATTTAATAGATTTAAGAGTAAACTTAGGAAGATGTTTATTCACAAATAATTTAACAAACCTTGAAAGTCAACTTCTTCTGGAATTTGTGTATTACAATGCTAGGACTACATTGCTATTTTGAGATAAAGAGCAGACTTAAGGTTAATCTACCATGAAATTCTCCCCAAATCCATTTAATTAATTTTTACTACAATATGCATTGGATGCAGGATTAATATTCTGTACACTAACACAAGATGTTTCCATGCGAGGAACTGTCTGCAAACCTGTCAGGCCAAGCAATTAAAGTGTGTACAAAAGCTTTAAGTGGCAAGCTGAATCCTCCTTTTAGGACCTGCAACCCAAGGTTTTACCCTCAGCATTTGGAAAAAACCACTACACCTTCTGCCTCTTAATGAGTTTAATGTAGAATATGCTTAGCAGAATCAACACAAAGATATGACAAATTCTGTATTAGACCACTTTGGAAGGAGAACGAAGGCAAAGTTACAAGAAACCTACTGTGAAGTGGTGTTGACAGCGTTCCCTTCTACTTGACACGATGTCTACTAGCAGCTTTAAAATCCTACCTCACCCCAGCTGTAACTCAGCTATAATCCTCTATGGATCCCACTACATCAGCTGACTTTCCAAGGCATTTTCATCCAATAGCAATTGGCTTGTATGGTTAAAGGGCACAAGTATGGTTAAATTCAAGTCGCAGTGATAGAATAATCCTTACCTTCAGTTATTAAGTCGTCATTGATTTCAGTCATAGCTGTAGCTTCCTGGAAAAAAAAGCGAAGAAAAATCTCTTACAATTTAATCCTAATCCATTTCAGGAAACATCACAAATCCAAAATGGTTTTGTACTCCCAAACCACTCCCTCTTCCCACAAGTACACATGGGGGTTTTGTGTTTGTTGGGAAGGGTTCTTTGTTGTTTTGGGTTTTAAGAAAACCATAGTAAAGCTCATACTGGAAGGGACTTCTGGAAGCTGTAACTGATCAATTGTTCGATCTAAGGTAAGACCACCTATTAAGTCTTAAAATAATTCTTTAATCTGCTTTAAGTAAAGTACATCAGAAAGAGGAACAGAAGAAGCCTACACAATTATGCTGTCAGAACTGTTATCTGGCATACATGAACAAGTAACGGTGTATAAACCTCTAGTTCTACAGATGCACTGCTTAAGGATACCTCCGAATGAAGCCTGCTGTTCTAAGCCCCACACTACACAAAAAGCATGACTTCAGTTTTAGGACTTTTTTGCTCTGACTCTCACACTTCATACAACTTACTAGTCATGATTTTTTTAAAGCAAGCGTGTAGTCTCTTTACCTCAAAAACAGCAGGAGCCATAACAGCATCTCCTAAGGAGCAGTCTCCAACAGCTTGCATGCTATCGTAGGGAGCATAGGAGTTGTAGTTGTACTCGGCATAAGGATCATAGCCCCACTGTGAGTAGTAGTTCTGATAATCTTGGTAATAATCATTGTAGTTGTATGACTGGTACCGCTGGAATTCTGCTTTCAGCCTGAAACATGAGAAGTTACATACAGTCAGAGTTTGAGAACAATAAACTGTAAACCCAGTTCTGGAGTTCAACAATTTGCCAGTTTACACATTTCGAAGTTTAAAAGGAAGCTTTTCCAAAGAGTTGCCTAAACAGCAACCTAAGTCACAGCACAAGATCTTGTGTTTATACAGAAGCAAATGCTCTCACCTTTGCCAATATCAAAAGTAATTATTTTCATGGATTAACTCAAGCGATGACACTTATCTGCACTCATTTTGAGTATTTTTAGTTATCTGTGTAAGCAAGCTGCTGATAAATCTTCATGCTCTGCTAAAAACTGATTTATTAAGACCAGAGAGATTTATCAAGCACAGCTGGTTCAATCTTAATTAGCCCTTTCTAGCTTTTGTTTGGTTAACACTAAATGCTTTTTCTGAAAAGAAGGTGGTAAAGTCAGATTATCTGTATCCTGCCAGTTTGCCATGTCTACCTCCACTTTCTGAGTTTTCAGTCCACAAAGCATTCAATAGTTGCCAAAGCTGTCAGGTGAATTAAGCACTGCTGTTATCCAGCATGAAGCCAAACCAGTAGGAAAAGGACTAAACTCATTGGTTCTTAAGATCAAAGGGCCAGCTGGTTAGTTTTCACTACTTCCCCTCTCCTGAGTAGATTTTCTCAGGGACAACTTCAGACTAATGACGAACATCAATGCACAAGTGTTGTCTGTACTAAAACAGAGGTACACTACATGAAATACCTTCAGATAACCCAGCTGCACAGACAAAAAATCCTCTATGCTTAGACATTTCTTCACTGATTATGGACAGGCAGACCTCCTATGTTTGCAGAGTCCAATTTCTCTGCATCTCCACTTCATTACAGAAGAGTCAGATCCAGGCTTTTTGTCAAGAACACAAACTGAACGAGTTCAGAAGCACAGTTTCCAATGTAAGTGACTCAGTAACAAACTACTCTGATGGCTGGACATTTTGATGGTAGGAGAGCATAGTACTCAGCCATTCAGAAACAGATACAATTAGTGATGTGTATTTTAACACCTACATTACATTTGCTCATTACTGTAAAGCTACACATACATTCTAACAAATAGGTATTCTGTTGTTCTGCTACTGTAGTTAAAGTACTAGACAGTATCTCAGTCTTCTGCTTCCAAATTCTCTCCCACACAGATCTCTGCAGGAAAGAAAAATCTGAAAATACTATCGACGTTCTTCTGCATAGCAGAAGTGAGGAAACCTGTTTTTGTGACCTCTTCTTGTTTTCAAAATAATTTAGTCAGAGCAATTCTAGACAGTGCTCTCTTGGGCAAGAACGCTACCTCTCTAAAGCAAAGAGCCAACATTTACAGAATTATCCAAGGTGAAGAGAAACAAAACCTGTTATTTTTACTATTTAACAGAACATACAAGCTAGCCTCATGAATATACCCAAGTTGTTTTATATGAAGTTCTATTTTTGTCTGCATCCTGGATCCAAGTTTATCAAATTTGGTACCAATGGTCTAACTGTTCAGAGACTTGAATTGCCTTAAACAACTGATTGAGAGAACTGAGCCAGCAGAGTAAGAAAGCCCTCTCAGAATCAATGAACTTTAAATTCCCTGCTGCTCCCATCTCTCAAAAAGCAAAGACTAGTACTCTAAAACTGTTTCAGTAACATCTCCTTTGGCTTCACCCCCCTTCCCCCCATATTCTGTATTTTTCCACTTAAGAGTTCCTTCCTCTGCCAGCCTATTGTAAAACTAGCCATGTGCAACCTTGCCTGAACTAGAGTGAAAGGTCAAGAAAAGCTCCCTAGCATACAAAACCACTTACTGTCCCTCCTACCTTCTTCAAGCCCAAACCTGCAAAATATTTATAAATGCATTCAGCGTCTATAAGCATTAAGGCTGGTTACAGTAGCAGATAAGCCCAAGTTATCCAGTCTGGCTAGACTTTAAGAGTTGGATTCCCCCAGCAATCCTGAAAGAGGTTGATGAATCCAGGGAGTCAAAACATAGTGCTTCTGTATTTTTGTTTTGTAGACTGCATGACATGTACAGCCGTTATAGCAAGGGCCACAGACTTTACAAAGGCAGAGCTACAAAATCCGATTATTCAGAATTAACTGTATCAATGCACGACTTATTTGTTACCTTTTAGAAATTCCTATGCTCAGCCGGATTCGTTTTCCCCCCAGACCTGGTGCATTCTGGCAGTCTTGCAGTGCCCTCATCTGATCACCTTGCTCACCAAATCTGACAAAGGCATACCCTCTACAATTTTCAAAAGGGAAAAAACAAATTCTAGTATGCATAACAGTTACAAAGCTAATGAATTCAATTTCTGTCTTCTACAAAAACAGAAGATAGCAGCTATTATAGCTTCTATTACCTAAGCAAGCCCTCTGGCACGTGCACATGCACAGAAGATGCTTTCACTGAATTAAAAACTTGGGCCAGAAGCAAAAAGCTTGTTCTTTGATAGTATGAAGATGCAACTTGCTGAGAGCCAGCAAAACAATACATTTTAATTGATCTCTGTGTTAAGTAATCAGATTCTATATTGCTGCATTTACAGCAGTTAATTTATTAGTTATTAATCCACTCCTACCACTGTACAGCACTAACATCCTTTTTTACACTTGATTTCTCTTCAGTTTCTTGAATTTTACAGCCAGCATTGTCTGAACAGCAAACTTGCTCACCCCTGCTTGACTCACTGCCTGGCCAGTATAACTTCTGCTAGGCTTTATTTACTAATATTAACAGCTTCAATCTCCCACTCTCTAAGATTTGCCAGGCCTTGCACTTTTCTCTCATGTGTAAAAAGGGAATTATTTTGTCTTCAGTATTGCAGATGGCTAAGTGGACACGCTGCTGTATGTAAGCACAGCAGCACAGATTTCAGTGCACAGCTCTCCCTTCTCCCACCATCTCATCTTTCATGCAGATATGCATATGGCTAAATTAAAGCTTATCATATCAACTGCTTAAACTAATCAAAGAAACACATGGGTCCCACTGTTAAAAAAAAGGCAGTGCTAGAAACTAATCTCTCTTCCTGCCTCTCAAGAAAATGCAGAAACAGGCCTGATGCAAGTTCTTAGATTACTTATAGAAGCAAACAGTTCAACAGCAATACAAATTTTCACAGGCATTACCTGGAATATCCCAGCAGGTCTGTTGCTATTTTGCAGTCAATACATGAGGGGTACCTCTTTAGGAAATAGTCATAGAGCTGGAAATCATCCACTTCTGGAGTAAGCTCCCCAACAAATATTGAATAGTCTGGTCTTTAAAAAGATAAAAATCCCACAATTGTCAAGTTTGAGACTAAGGTAGGTGAGTGCAGTATTAAGATACCTAAAATATAAGCAGGTAGTTATCACTGGACAAATAAGGAGACAAAATCTGAAGAGCATTAACTGCAAAACTCAACAGTTAAGTAATGTATAGAACCACAATGCCATTGCTCCAGCAGAAAGTTCTCAAATTCTCTGGGTCCATTCTACTGCTTTTGCAAAAAAAGCATTTCAGAGACCCATTTTATAACAGGCTTTTAGACGCTGGTTTTAAAGAGAAATACTTATTGTCTGACTTGGGGGGAGGGAGAAAAGAGACACAAAAATACCAAGAAAAAAATATTAGCTTGAGTTACAGTCATGATTTAAAAGAGCTATGACTATTTTGCCACCACTTCTCAGTCGTTATGGGAGAGAAACTACAAAAAAACTTCATTATTCCATTAGCAATGTGTTTCCATAAGCAATACTTAGTCTATACACACCAGGTGTGCCATTTCAGGATTTTAAAATTAAATGATGGCATTCACTGGTCACTATCAACTAAACCAGAAAGGGTCAGAGCTCCTCATTTCAAAAGGTGTTTACCTGGCTGAAGTACTACTAGGAACAAACTCTATTCTTGCTGGTTTTATTTTGTTCTTTTTCTTCCGTTTCTTCTGTGGTGTTCTCCACCAGCTGTAGGCCTGAAGACATTCTCTTTTTTTCGCCATCAAGTCCTGTTGGGAGAAAAAAATCACATTTATAGTATTTAGCCTCGTTTACATTCCTCCCTCCCACTCCCCATCACCACAGGTGATTTCCCCATATTCACCTTGCCCTTGAAAGAAGCCTGGGGTCCCATTTCTCCCTCCGCCTCCCATGAGGGAAAGCAGCCTCTGGGGAAAACGCCTGGCAAAAATAACAGAGCCAAAGGATTGTATGAACAGCCATATTCCCCTGACTTGTCAAGCTGGCTAAAGGATTGACAGCTTCCTCTCGGGATTAGGGAAAAAGCAGACAGCCCTTCGATGTTGGCCAATCCTAAATTGTTAATTAGCTTCAGGACTGGACTGTGTTCCACTTGAGTTCCAGGACTCCAAAAACCCTGCAGCACTGCAGTCTGAGTGACGAAGAGGCAGGGAAGTCATCACGCTTGCCTAGAAGGGATCTCAGCTGTCCCTATCTCCCCTCACCTAGGAATTCTTCTTCTCTTATGTGAGATGCCTCTCCTCACTACCCAGCTGTGAGTCACTCTCCCAGGCCAGGAACAACAACAGGAGGCCGATTAATGGAACGTAAGGAGAAAGCAGACCAGGAACAGGCACTAGCTTGGCTGAGGGAAAACTCAAACCCAGACACAAGGCCAGGAAGAAAGAGGCATAAAAAGTGCCTCTTGGGAAAAAAAAAAAAAAAAAGAAAACCAAAACCCCAAAAACCACAGTTCAAAAAGTGGGGTGACTACACAAAAGTGGAGAGAAACAGTCATGTTAACACAGGTTGCCTCCCTCAAGATTCTAAAGAACAAGGATTTCCAAAAATAAGAATTGTATTTCGCAGCACTTTTTACTTACGCAGTTTAATGTTCTTCCTCTAGAACACCTCTACATACATAGAGAGTGTTACACGCAAGGTCCTTCAGAAGAACTCAAGCTCAAACAATCCAAACTGCAAAGCTTAACGTTATGCCCCCAACCTGCTTCGGTTGACACAATTACGTGTCCGGAGGACAGCCACCAATTACCAAATTACCAGAAGAAATCGTAGGACTAAAAGAATGCCCAACTCAGAGCAAGCTAGCTATTTCAGCTTTACGTTTACTGGGAATTCTGAGTATGGTTCTCAATTCATTTAGGCACTGCAAGCCTGAATTTCCAAGCAAATCATCTTACCTGGCTTGCCATGGTTCAAACTGTCTTCTGTCCTTCTTGAAGAATACGGCTACACGGGTTCAGTTTATTGCCCTCCTTCAGCTGAAAAGGATGCAAGGGAGGAACAAGATAAAGAATCTTAACCTTGAGACAAATTACTTTCCTTCGAAAGGAAAGTAAAGTAAAAAGATAATGTAAAAAGCAAGCTGGAGATGGACTTTTTACAAGGGTGTGTAGTGACAGGACAAGGGGCAATGGCTTTAAACCGAAAGAGGGGAGATTCAGATTAGATCTAAAAGAAATTTTTCACTCTGAGGGTGGTGAGGCATTGGAACAGGTTGCCCAGAGCAGTTGTGGATGCCCCATCCCTGGAAATGTTCAAGGCCAGGTTGGATGAGGCTTTGAGCAACCTGGTGTAGTGGAGGGTGTCCCTGCCCATGGCAGGGGGGTTGGAACTAGATGATCTTTAAGGTCCCTTTCCAACACAAGCCATTCTATGATTTTATGTTCACCTCACCTTACAGTTTTAATGGTATAAATTCAGTACTTAAAAATTTAAGTTCTGATTTGCCACTGCTAAAGCAATGGAGACAAAAACTATGTATGGCCAATGGGACTAGGACTATAAATTGTCTTCACTTTCTTAAATTTTAGCAGTCCACAAAGTTTTTTCACTGTCCAAAGCACTAAAAAAAAATCACAGAGAGCTTTTAAGCCACCTATACCTTAATCTTTACTTCTGAAATATCTACATATAATGATATCGTAATTCAGAAAACCCGTGTTCTAAAATATCTAAAAACAAGGCAACAAAGCTAGAGGCTTCTGTGTGTTTTGTACATCCCCTTGGTCTTCCCCCCCTTTTAGCCAAATTAAGAGTTGATTTACTTGTACCACAAATCATACAGTTGAGAACAAGCAGTGCTACTTCCTGTGTGGTAAAGAACAAGAGAAATAGAAGAGGGAGGAGGGCACAGTACAGGTAAACGTGATGTTTCTCTGCACCTTTTCTCAGGTATGTCTTCTCTTTTGCCTCTTCCATATACACATTCCACTCACCACCAGTTACTTAGCAACAACAATTGACATTCCACTGCCACCACCGAACCAGTGGATACGCTTTCCTGAAAGTGTATGTACCTCTTGATTCCAAGATTCTTTAAGCTCTACCCCCTAGACAACCAACCAATATAAATCAGTGCAGAAAATTTCATTTGCAAAGTATTTTGCATCTGCTTCTGAACACAGATCTTCATTCCCCACTGCTGATTTTTTACATCCAGTGTTGCTCTTTCCATGCAGCTACTTAATTGCTGAAGTTTTAATTCCCATTTCCACGCAATAAATTATGTTTTACACACTGGCTAGTCAAATCCACATTCACACAATAAAATAAATATTGGGTGGTTGCAATGCCTTAAAGGCTTGCCCACACAGGGGAACCATTCAGAGCGCTGCTTCTGGAAATGGATTAATGAAAATTAACCTGACACAGGACAGCCATGTACCACAATTAGAGCATCAATGGGTGGTGTTACTCAGGATAACTATGTACTTTGTCCCGAAACCCATTCTGAAAGCAACAAAATAGTCAAGTACCAACAAGTCCTCAAATACAAGCATATTCCAGTAAGGTTAGCATATGCCCTCTTACTAAACCTAACTGTGCTCATTATAAAGAATTAACAGCAGCAATTTTCTCCTCTTAGAGAAAGTCATTATTTATATAAATATCCAGTGTGATGTTCCTCTAACTCAAGTATTACTTTTATTAAAAGGAACCATAAACTTCTCCATGCTCTAAACACTGAAATACTAATTTGTGAATTCACAGCTGCATAATACTTTTTTTGGACTTACCACTCCTTATTTTTGCAGATTTCACAGAAGACGGCACACACTACAAAGCAGTTTTATTGCAAAAGACTATTTGAAAGCAAGTGATGCAACTGTTTTCTCGGTCGCAGTTATCGCGGACTTTATGCAAAACTGCGTTTCTGTACTCTTTTCCCGTCTGATCTTGACTGTCACCTCTTGATCTTTTCACTAGAACACAAAAATATTTTGAAAGCAGTTAAAACAGAATGCATTAACACCGTATTTTTTACATTTGCCTTAACTCCAGCTACAGTCACAGCCAGCGTCCCACTGAAGCTGCATGGCAGCTTTAACCTCCTCATTTCAAACACTTCCTTAATTGGATTACACACGTATTTCACCAGCCCGTTCGTCCCAGCTTTTTATTATTGTATTTGTACTTGTGCAAAGGCAGATGAAGCTATTTACGAACCAAACCGCCCGTGCGCACACCGCTCTCCCAAACCCGGAGGACAAACCCCCTCATTCCAGTCCCGGGGTAG